GATATTTTCTAAAATGAGAAAGCATTTGCCATGGGTGAGAATAAGGGTTTATTATTTTTTTATTAACATATAATGTATTTGTTTCAGGGGTACAGGTCTGTGATTCAACAGTCTTACACAATTCACAGCACTCACCATAGCACATACCCTCCCCAATGTCCATCACCCAGCCACCCCATCCCTCCCACCCCCCACCACTCCAGCAACCCTCAGTTTGTTTCCTGAGATTAAGAGTCTCTTATGGTTTGTCTCCCTCTCTGGTTTGGTCTTGTTTCATTTTTCCCTCCCTTCCCCTATGATCCTCTGTCTTGTTTCTCAAATTCCTCATATCAGTGAGATCATATGATAATTGTCTTTCTCTGATTGACTTATTTCACTTAGCATGATATCCTCTAGTTCCAACCACGTCATTGCAAATGGCAAGATTTCATTCTTTTTGATGGCTGCATAATATTCCATTGTATATATATATATATACCACTTCTTCTTTATCCATTCTTCTGTTGATGGACATCTAGGCTCTTTCCATAGTTTGGCTATTGTGGACATTGCTGCTATAAACATTGGGGGTACAGGTGCCCCTTCGGATTACTACATTTTTATCTTTGGGGTTAATACCCAGTAATGCAATTGCTGAGTCATAGGGTAGCTCTATTTTCAACTTTTTGAGGAACCTCCATACTGTTTTCCAGAGTGGCTGCACCAGCTTGCATTCCCACCAACAGTGTAGGAGGGTTCCCCTTTCTCTGCATCCTCACCAACATCTGTCATTTCCTGACTTGTTAATTTTAGCCATTCTGACTGGTGTGGGGTGGCATCTCATGGAGGTTTTGATTTGGATTTCCCTGATGCTGAGTGATGTTGAGCACTTTTCTCATGTGTCTGTTGGCCATTTTGGATGTCTTCTTTGCAGAAATGTCTGTTCATGTCTTCTGCCCATTTCTTGATTGGATTATTCGTTCTTTGGGTATTGAGTTTGGTAAGTTCTGTATAGATTTTGGATACTAGCCCTTTATCTGATATGTCATTTGCAATTATCTTCTCCTATGCTGTCAGTTGTGTTTTGGTTTTGTTGACTCTTTCCTTTGCTGTGCAAAAGCTTTTTGTCTTGATGAAGTCCCAATAGTTCATTTTTGCCCATGCTTCCCTTACCTTTGGTAATGTTTCTAGGAAGAAGTAGCTGTGGCTGAGGTCGCAGAGGTTGCTGCCTGTATTCTCCCCAAGGATTTTGATGGATTCCTCTCTCACATTTAGATCTTTCATCCGTTTTGAGTCTATTTTTGTGTGTGGTGTAAGAAAATGGCCCAGTTTTATTCTTCTGCATGTGGCTGTCCAATTTTCCCAACACCATTTGTTGAAGAGACTCTCTTTTTTCCATTGGACGTCCTTTCCTGCTTTGTCGAAGATTAGTTGACCATAGAATTGAGGGTCCATTTCTGGGCTCTCCTGTTCCATTGATCTATGTGTCTGTTTTTGTGCCAGTACCATACTGTCTTGATGACGACAGCTTTGTAATATATTTTTAAATGTTCACAAGAATTTTGGTTATATTTAAGCTGCTTGGATTTCTTATTCTGCATTCCTGACTATTTAATTAAGTTGTCTGTAGACCTCCATGTTGTTAAAATTACAATTGCCTTTTGCATAACCTGCAAGTTATTGTATATATGCATGCATGCCCCTGTGTGTTTGTGTATGCCTGCATGTATTTCCACACTTGATTGAAAATTCCCTGAGAGGAGTGGCCTTTGCCTTTCTTAAGACAAATTTGATGTCTATATCACACAACTCAGAAAACTCCTAGGCACAAAGAAGCAGAAATTTTATCACTACCTGTATACTTAGTAGATAATAAAAATGAAAGAGTAGACTAGAATAAAATTGAACAGAGAAGAGAAAATTTAAAAACAACTTGAGTCAATCTTTTTATTTGCAAATGAAGATCCTGGGGTTTATAATGGTGAAGTGATTGACCCAACAGCTTACAGAAGCTTCAGAGAAGAGTCAGCCCTTTAGACAGGCTATTTCAGTATGCCTAGAATCTTCATATACTGAATCAGTCATTCTGTCAACCTGATTTTTGCCCATAGGAGACTAGCCTGTCAACTTTTATCCAAACTTGCAAACTTTCCAGTTTTAATATGGCAGACAATGTTACACATCGCTACGTCTCATCTTTTTTCCTGGTTGGTATTCCTGGTTTGCAAGCTTTTCACTGCTGGATTGGCATCCCTGTCTTCCTCCTGTTTGCCCTGGCCCTGCTGGGGAACAGCATAATCATCATCACCATCAAACTAGAACCAAGCCTCCACTAGCCTATATAGTCCTTCCTTTGTATGCTGGCAGTGAATGACATTGCTCTTGCCTCTTCCACAGCCCCCAAGATGCTTGGTATCTTCTGGTTGGATGCACATTGGATTGACTTTGATGTCTGCCTAATACAGTTATATTTCATTCACACGTTCTGCATAGCTGAGTCAGCCCTCTTGGTTGCCATGGCCTTTGACTGCTGTGTAGCTATTTGCATCCCTCTGCGTTATACAACCATCCTGACAACACCAGGGCTCATTAAAATGGGTCTGACTGGTATGATCCAAGCTATCTTTATGGTTTTGCCAGGTCCACTTCTTATTAAAAAGCTACCATATTACACTAAATATGTCATCAATCATGCCTACTGTGAGCACATGGCTGTGGTGAAGTTGGCCAGTGCCAACACACATATTAACAGAGCATATGGAATCTCTGTGGCCCTTTCAGTGATGGTGTTCGACCTAGGGCTCATAGCCACATCCTATATCAAAATCCTCCAGGCAGTCTTCCGGTTGTCTTCCCAGAATGCCCGTTCTAAAGCGCCGGGCACCTGTGCTGCCCATGTCTGCACTATACTTGTCTCCTACACACCTGCACTGTTTAGTTTCCTAACTCACCGCATTGGCAAGAAGGTACCTCCAAGCATTCATATAATTTTTGCAAGTTTGTATCTTTTGGTGCCTCCCACAGTCAATCCCCTGGTGTATGGTGTCAAGACCAAGCAGATTCGTGACCGAGTGGTTAGTCTCTTCTTCCCAAACAAGAAGATTTCTGGAAACTAAAATATGTAGATACAAGCCCATATTGGCAGAATCTGTTTTATGGTACATTAACAATATTTGCAGCTTTGTCCCCAACATGCTATTTCTCAATTCAGTTATATCTCTCAGCAGGAATATGTGATTTTGTACATTTTTCTCCCCATTTTAATTTTTCAATATTTCATTTTCTTTCTCTTAGAAATAAGCTTCATGGGAAGCTTTCAATAAATATTTGCAATAGTTGTTATTTATTTATTATTGACATTATTTTATATTCTATATTTATGGATAATATTTTATAATATTCACAAATGTGAAATAACTAGGCTAATTATTGTAATAATTTTAAGATTCTCAGTACATTGGACAATGTAATTTATAAAAACAATTTTTTCCAATTCACACTGTTACATACACTGATTAAAAATTCCTGAGTAAAAGCCATTATTTTCAAGTTTCATTTTACTTATTGTAATAGTTATAAGAATTACTTAGCCCTCAATAATGATCACTGTGGGTTTGGCTGTTTCCTAATTCCTTCACCTATATTTACTCCCTTAGTCCACAAAACTATACTGTGATACAGATGGTATTATTATTGTCATTGTACCAAGTAGGAAACTGAGGCACAGAAAGCTTAAGTAAATTGCATAAAGGTAACTCACCTAGCACATGGCAATGTGGAAGTGAGCCTAGGGACTCTGGCTTCCAAAATATATGCTCCTTATAATGCAATATTGTCCACCAATATGCTTACACCTACTCGCTTTACAAATATGGGAGCTTATTCCTCTGAACACTTTATTTTTTTTTATTCCCCTACATCTTCTCTTCTTTTAGATATTGTGGTAGATTTCTTAAGTTTCCTTAGAACTCCCTGTAAGTGATAAATCTATTTTGATATTTTGACAAGACCCCAAGCAATAATTGCTTCTGTTTTACTAGAGAAATCTCCAACCAGTACAGCCAGGTAACATTATAACTATGCTTTCCAGACTTAAGTAAAAAAATCCACCAGCCATCCCAGATAATGTAAACAAAAAATTAAATATAATATAGTTAAAAATGTGTAGATGATGGGGAGCCTCAATGGCTCCATTGGTTAAGCATTGGAACTCTTGATCTCAGCTCAGGTCTTGATCTCAGGGTTGTGAGTTCAAGCCCAGTGTTGGAGCCTACTTTTAAAAAATTGTGTAGATGATTATTGAACACCAATAACAACATCAAGCTTGAGAAAAATTCTAATTGAAAAATATTGGGGGAGATGCCAAGAAAAAGCTGATCTGAGCCTTGAAGAGTAATGATAATATTACCAGGTAAGAAGGTAAGGGTTTCCAAGTATAGGTAACACCTCAATGGAAGTGAATAGACATAGTAAGAAAAATAAAAATGCACCCAGAACACAGTGATGTCATAAAAGCAAAAGAAGAAGAAAGCTTCAAGGAAAAACATACAATTAGAAAAGCAGTTGGTACATCCAATTAGAGAAGATCTGGTGTGTGGCATTATGAAGGTCATTGGTCGCCTTGGGAAACAAAGGACAGTGCAATGGTAATGGTGAAAGGTCTGTACAATCTTGAGTACAGTGGATGACATTGATTTTAGGTAATAAATCTAGTCCAAACCCTGAACTTACTAATTTAATGGCTACATTATATTTTGTACTTATAAAGCCTACCACTGTTCTTGATCAATCACACAGAATATGAGTATGTCAAACCCATGGGACAAACCATCTCACACAGACCAAATCCAGCTTGCTGCCTCTTTCCATAAATAAAGTTTTATGAATCACCACATCCATTAATTTATGTATTGTCTGTGGCAACTTAGCCATACACTGACAAGGCTGAATAATTAGGACAGAGATCACATGACCAAAAAAGCTTAAACTACTTACTGTCTGTCCTTTTTGGGGGGTGTGAGGGGTACCAAATTACTTTATTTGAAGGAATGGTACAAATGAAAAAAGTTAAGTAGATGTTTTGGTACAACTTATAGAAAAGGTAAAGGTAACCCCAACACGCATGCACTGCCTTGGTGACCAGGGAAGTCACCCTTGTGGCTATGGGAAAACAGCCTAAGGCTTAGCTCTATCGCTGTTTCCCAAGGTGTGCTTGTCAAAGAGATACTCTGCCATGCCAGATTGGGAGCCCCCACCTTGCACAGGTTGGTTAGTGGTCACCCACTTCTTTGATGGATTTCACCTGCTCATCCAGGTAACGAGTCTCAGTGAAGTCACACAAATGTGGGTCGTTTTTATCAGTGGCCAGTTTGTGCAGTTCCAGTAGTGACTGATCCACGCTCTTTTCCAAATGTAATGCACACTCCATTATATTCAGCCCGTTCTCCCAATCATCACAGTCTGGTTTCTTGATATTCTTAAGGAAGATTCGGCCACCTCGTTGGTTCTGCAGCTCCATCAGTTTCTCATCATGTTCCCTCTCCTCATGAGATTGGTGAAGAAAATATTTAGCAAAGTTCTTCAAAGCCGCATCATCGCGGTCAAAGTAGTAACACATGGACAGGTAGACTTAGGAGGCGTAGAGCTCCAGGTTGGTCAGGTTGATGGCGGCCTCCGAGTCCTGGTGGTAGTTCCCGCGCACCTGCGAGGGGGACGTGGTGGTCCTGGTGGCGGCTGAGGAGAGGCGGCGGTGGTCGGCGGCTGCACGGCGCTGGAACAGGCGGCAGGAGCCTTGGAGCTGTTGTGAGGAGATGGTGGAGGGCTGGCTCTGAGTGGCCGGCCGGGCTGGGGGACAAGCGCCAGTCCTGTCCAAGCAGTGTTGAAGCAGGAAACCGCGGTGACTTGGTGGAGCCTGGGGCCTCTGTCTGTCCTTCAACATAAAAAGCTTGCTGGTATATAATTTAGAACAACAGTTAATTGAATTATAATGTCTTATACTCCTGTACAGTTGTCTTTACTGACCTGCCCTTAAGCTTTAAGCCTTCTATTAAATTTTCCATGAGAACCATTTATAAAAGCCACAGAAACATTTACAGCTAAACTCTTGAAAAGATTTAGGTCTACTTTATCACTCAGTATTTCCTACATACACATTCATGTGTGAAATTTATTTTACAGTTTAGTTCTAAGAACATCCAAAAATTTCAATGGCCAAAATGGACATCTATAATACAGAAATGAAGTGTCTCCTTTGAAGAATTAATAGTTTTTCTTTAAACTAATAGCTATAGTTATGACAATTTACTTTAAAATTCATTACACTTGGATATCAGATTTCAGCTCAAAGTAAATATGTAAACCACTAATGGGAATATATTCAATATTCAAATCAGTTAATGTTATCCTTTGCATTAACAGGCTAAAGAAGAAAAATCATATTATCATATCAATTGATGCAGTAAAAGCATTGGCAAAATCCAACACCTGTTTGTGGGGCAGAGGGGGAGGGGAACTCTCAGCAAACTAGAAAGAAAGGGTAACTCTTCAAGTTGGTAAAGAACATTTTCAAAAAACTTTCTAACATCATACTTAATGATGAGGATCTGGATGTTCTTCCTCTAATATCAGGAACAGGGAAAATATGCCACCGCTCAATATTCCCATTCAGCATCATACTGCCAGTCTTAGCTAGAACAATAATGCAATACAAAAATATAAAAGGTATACAGATTTAGAAAGAAGGAATAAAATCATTTGTCCACAGATAAACAGGTGAAGTACGTGCAGTTTTTAGGTAGATCAAATTCTTTTGTATGATACTGTGATGGCGAGTGCATGATATTATACACCTTTAAAAGATAAGAACTTTACAGCACAGAATGGACCTTACTATATGTAAATTAAAATAATTATTTAGAAAACTGGAGGATTCCAAGAGGGAATGCAGATTATAAAAAAATGAATCTACCTATATGCTAAATAAATGAAATAGCTTCACTGCGGGGATTGTGGGAAAAGATACTGACTTAAGTAACTTTGGAAATGAGTGGCGTGTAGGCATAAAAGCAAAAGGGACTGTCCATAAATGCTTTACTCTAATTGATAAAGTTGTTTCCTACAGGATCAAGGATAAACAACTCTGATATAGCCTTAGAAGCATACTAGCAATTAACAAGTAAATGGGTGACAGATAGTTGAAGCCAGATTTTTCACTGTTGGAGTGGGACTTTACCAATAAGCAAAGGGAAGTAGTTAGAAAGATCCTTGTGGTAATAAATTAATGTTGCAGATATTAGTAAGAACTCTAATTTAATTTAGATACAAGTGTTTACATATAGAAATATTTACAGATATGTGTATATACATCGGTTAGCATACACACAAAGCTCCTTGCTCTGTCAGCTGGGAGAACTTAGAGAAAGATACTCACGTACCCACAAGCATACTTGTGGCGCAGTTCCTGGTTTCTAATGCTATTCATCAATAAAAAGAACAAAACTTCCCAGAGAAATGGTAATTCTAGGATTGAGGCAGAAAATCCCCAAGACGAACCTGCAGCATCTTTTAGTGCCATAAACCAAAAAGTGCTACACACACAAGCACACACACAATGAGGGGTAAGCCAAAATGGAACAAAATCCAAACAAAAGAGTACCCAGTGGTCAAATTGGAACAACTTGAGGAATAAAATGAAATAACTTTGGATTATAACTCAGATTATAACAAAAATACCCGTAAGTCCATAATGATGTAAATAATGATTGAACAAATTAATAAGTAGGGAGACTAAATCATTTGCCTTGTAAAATAATTCTAAATAATTCACTAAGTTATGTATCTATTCCGTCCTCAAGGAGAAGGAACATAAAGCCCTACTCCTTAAGTGTGGGCTACATATAGTGATTATCCTTTCATAAGTTCACTATGAAATGGGAATTAAAATGGAGAAATCTGACAACCACTATCTCAGACAAGAAATTAAGGTCAATATGCACAATGCATAAATTATGTTGATAATATGTACCTTTGATATGTGATTGACATGGGACTTTAACATCTATGATTTTCCTCCCCAAAGCACATAATTCCAATCTGATCATTACAATAACATCAGATAAATTCCAATGGAAGGGAGTCCTCTGAAATCCCTATGAAATACATTCCTATGAAGAGGTATGTTTTCAAGGTCATTAGAAACAAGGAAAGTCTCAGAAATATAGCCAAGAGCAGCTTACAGAGACCTGACAACTTAATGCAATGTGGCATCCAGGTTGGGATCTTGGGAGGGAAAAAAAGGAAGTAAGGTAAAAATTAAGAAACTTGAATAAAATATGGACTTTAGTAAATCATAGTGTATTAATATTGATTCACTAACTATAACACATATATTAATGCAAGATGACAATGATAAGGAATACTAGGTAGGGGGTCTATAGGAACTCTCAATACCTACATATTCAAATTTTTGTAAATCCAAATCATTTGGATTTTAAAAATGTATTAATTTGCATTCCAATACAAAATTAAACATCCGAACTTTCTTAGTGCTCATATGAATGTAAGTCAAAAAATAACTTAAGACTTGAATGGTGATGATAATTAAAATGATGGAGATGATGAAGTGGAGGAGAAAGATTACTGAAATCAAAATTGGAAGACAAAAAAGTAGTTAGTTCATGATCATAAGGAATATCAACTTGAGAATGAATTTATTGTTTTTAAAGAATCCCATGAACTTAATATTTTTAATCAGAGGCTAACCGCTTAAATTCACTTGTGTTTTTAGGAACTTCCTCACTGAAAGATTAAAGAAAAATCTTCATTGACTAAGCCAGAAACAAGTTTTCATGTTTTCTGCCTTTTATATCACCTACTGATAAGTTGATTCTGTATCCATAAAAGTTAAAATTGTTTAAATAGGAATCAGATCCTGTCTCCAAAGTAAAATCTAGAACTGTATATTTCAGCAGCACGAATGAGCTGGAGAAAGCACAAAATCTGACTCCAAAATAGTATTTCTCAAAGTGAAATTTTATTATTTGAAAAAAGTTAAATGAGAAATCAAGAAGGATCTTTAGAGTAGAAAGTCTTGGACACTCAATATCGAATCTGTTTGGTCTTCACCCTATACACAATAGGTTTGAGCAAAGAAGGGACAAGCAGATAAAGGTTGGACAGAAGAATAGGAATGTAGGGTGGAATATGGAACCCAAACCTGTGTGTAAAGAAGGAGAAGAAACCCAGAAGATAAAACTCGAGGAAGACACAAATATGGGCAATGCAGGTGTTGAAGGCTTCGAGCCTAGCGTCCTTCTGTGGCAGATTGAAGACAGTTAGAAATATTTGGATGTAGAAGAGTGTGATGAAGATTGTGTCAAATCCAAGTATAGTGAAAGCCACAAACAGGCCATAGATCTTGTTGATTCGAATGTCTTCTGCTGCCAACCTCACGATGACCATGTGCTCACAGTATGAACGGGAGACCACAGTGGTCCGGTAGTATTTCAGCCGACATTTGATGAGGATAAGACATGGAGCTACAAGGAGGGCTGCTCTGAGCGTCACTCCAACCCCAATCTGAGTGAGAAGTTGGTGTGTAAAGACAGTTGCATGTCTCAGGGGATCACAGTTGGCCCCATAGCGGTCCAGGGCCATGGCCAGCAGAATTCCTGATTCAATGGACTGGAAGGTGTGGATAAGCCACATCTGAAAGAGACAGGCATCAAAGTATATTTTTGGCAGATGAAACCAGAATATTCCTAGCATTTTTGGTAGGATGCAGGTACTAAGAGCAATGTCTGTTGCTCCAAGCATTGCCAGGAAGAGATACATGGGCTCATGGAGGCTGCGTTCAGATTTGATGATGACCAGGAGCAGGGAATTTCCAAATAGAGCAATGATGTACATGGCACAGAAAGGAATTCCAATCCAGAACTGCAAAGACTCCAAGCCGGGGATCCCAATCAGTGTTAGTACTGGGGGCATGAAGACTGTGCCCCTGAGCTTGAACATTTTAGCTTAGAGCTGTCTGATTAATGCTTCAAATTTTGTATTGGGTTTCTCTCTTTTTTATATTTGTTTTCATCTAGATTTATTGAAATTTCTAGAAACAGAAATTGAATGTGTTTTTAAAGGGCATTTTATCAAGCGTATGTATTCACTGATAATATAAGTCTAAGAATGCATATACAGGCTCCCAAAATTCTTTGTCTCTGTCTCTGTCTCTGTCTCTCTCTCTCTCCAGGAAGGCAGACAAATACACAGGACAATTCAATATGCAAAACAGACCCACCTGATATTGTATGTGCATTTGTGTGCATTTATCAGTTAAAAAACATTAGTTTGGATTTATAATAGGTTCAGGAATTTAAGATGTTCATGCATCACTTTTGTTTTTACCCAAGAGGAATTCATAGGCAGTCATTTAGTCTGCAGTCAATGCAAAGAGGGAAAAAAAGGATCGTTCACCATTCTGAGCAGTACTCTATACCACGGGAAAATAGGAAGTTACAAAGTAGTGACCTTGACTTTAAAGACAGTAATCTATTTGTGAAGATGCATTGTTATAATAAAAAGTTAAATGTCTCTGTGCTTAGTAAAGAAAAACTTAATATTATTAATATGTAATTCGTTGTTGACTTGATGCATATATGCAATGTAATTCCAATCAAAATCCCAGCAGGTTATTTTGTGTATATGCACAAACTGTTCTTCAGTTAATATGGAAAGGCCAAAGACCCAGAATAGCAACAGACACTGAAGATGAACAGAGTTGGAACAATGACACTACTATACTCTAGAACTTAACAGTGCAGTGATCAAAACAGTGTGGTAATGCAGAATAGACAAACTTGTCAGTGGAACGGAACTGAGAGACCACAAATAGACGCACACATATATGCAGTTAACTGATCTTTGACACAGGAACAAAAGCAATTTAATGGAGAAAGAATAGCCTTTTCAACTAATGGTGCAGGAACAACGCACATCCACATGCAAAAATAAATGGATGTAGACAACAGACCTTACACATTTCATAGAAATTAACTCAGAACCAATCATAGTACTTCTAGACTGAAAATACGAAACTCTACAAATTCTAAAAGAGAGAATAGGATAAAACCTAAGAGACCTTGGCTCTGACAGTAACCTTTTAGTTAAGATTAAAAGTATGATCCATGAAAAAAGAAACTGATAAGTTGACCTTCATTAAAACTGGAAACCATCTGTTCTGTGAAAGACATAGTTAAGAAAATGAAAAGACAAAGCAGAGACAGGGAAAAAAATATTTACAAAGTACATATTTGATAAAAGGACTTTTACTTCAAAATATATAAAGAACTCTTAAAACAACAATAAGAAAATGACCAAATTAAAAATGGGCAAAAATCTGAAAAGAAACCACACTGAAGAGGATATGTAGATGACAAATGAGCACATAAAAAATGCTCCACATCTTAGGTCACTAGGGAGTTTCAAAATGAAACAACAGTGCAATACTACCAACACCTTATTAAAATAGCTAAAATTCAAGACTTTGATATAATAAATGCTGGTGAGGAAGTGGAGCAACAAGAACTCTCATTCATTAATGGTGAAGATGTAAAATGGCACAGCTACTTTGGAAGACAGTGTACAAAGCTAAGCATAGGCTTATCATGAAGTCCAATAATTATGATCCTAAGTATTATCCAAATGATTGTAAACTTATATAAGCACAAAGCTTGTACATGAATATTAATAGCACCTTTATTTACAATTGCCAAAACTTGGAAGCAACCAGTATCTCTATCTTATATAAAGAAGCTGTGATACACCCACATGATGAAGTATGCAGTGATATAAAGAAATGAATTCTCAAGTTCCAAAAGAAATGGAGGAACTTTAAGTCCATGTTGCTAGTGAATGAGGTTGCCCTGAGAAAGCTACCTACGTGTGATTCCTACTACATAATATTCTGGAAAAGTGAAACTATAGAGACAATAACAAGATCAATATTCACCAGGGTTTCAGGGAGAAAAGAGAGGGGTGAGTAGGTAGAGCTCAGATTTTTAAGGTAGAAGAATATTCTATACGATACAATAATAATGGATATAAGGCATTATGCATTTGTCTAAACCCAAAGAAATGTACAACACAGGGGCACCTGGGTGGCTCAGTTGGTTAAAAGTTTGCCTTCAGCTCAGGTCATGATCCCAGGGTCCTGGGATTGAGCCCTGCATCGGGGGTCCCTGCTCAGTGGGGAGTCTGCTTCTCCCTCGGCCTTTCCCCCTGCTTGTACTCTCTCTGTCAAATAAATAAATAAAATCTTTAAAAAAAATAACAATGTTGTTGATCTTTAACATAAATATCAAACACTAGCTTTATTTTTCTCATTTATAGTGACAAATGTTGGTAGAAATGGCTCGTAGTCACTTTCTGGTTCTTTGAGCCCTTGCTCTTGTAAAGCTAATTCTACTCCAAAAAGCTGCAGACAGGATGAAGGTACAAGAGGCTATCTCCACAAATTGTCCCTTTGTTAGTTTAATTTCAACACATACAAAATACCAAGGCTAAATGCCTTCTCCTTTGAAAGGACATGAATTGTGCATGCATATAAAATTTAGGGGGTTTCCACCAAGATAATCTCTGTATTGAAGGATCAATTAATTGAAAACTCCACTTCTCTGATGTTCTAACCAGTTGCTTCAGTGATCCCTGGGTAATCTGGGACTCATATAAATCGGAAATCACTGATATACAGCCTTTCCATTAGTTTAACTCTCAGATATGCCCAGAATTCATGGTCTTGAATCTTGTTTGACTCTTTCGATTGATCTAATTATTCTGTACCTGGCACTTGCTATTCTTCTCACATGCCCTTACCTCTCTGAGCACATCTACTCTGTTACTATCCCATCTCTCTCTCTCTCTCTCTCTCTCTCTCTCTCTCTCACACACACACACACACACACACACGCACACACACAGAGACACTTTAAAAAATTGTTCAGGCAGGTCCATTTCAGTTATTGGTAATATGTATAGATCATTCTCTCTTTCCAGTGTGGGAAGGAAAATATTTAGTCTCCATGGAAACTGTCTTCCCATCTGCCCCATCTCCAGTTTTTCATGCTTGCTGATCACTTTCTTTGCTATTCTCTTTTAGCTCTAAGAGAGACAAATCTCATCTGTGACCACATCATGCTAGACTCAGAACCACCTGAAGGAACCTTTATTCTGAGGATGACTTAATATCTAAGGGAAAGCTAGTTTCTACTCAGATGAGAATTTATTGGATCCTAATATCAAAGGATCTTACATATACTTAAAAAAGACTCAAACCCCTAGCATTCCTTATATGATTTATTATAAGAACCTTTGGTTTTGGCCTCTCTGCTACCTTTTGTACTATTAATTCATTAGCAGGTAAACATCTATGAAGTCAGTTTAAATTTTTACAAAATAGTTTAGAGAGTTAGATGTATAAAATGAATGCTTTTAAGACCCCGAGTAGCCAAGGAATGTTGAAGCGGAAAAGAAAAGTTGGTGGCATCACAATTTCGGACTTCAAGCTCGATTACAAAGCTGTCATCATCAAGACAGTATGGTACTGGCACAAAAACAGACACATAGATCAATGGAACAGAATCGAGAGCCCAGAAATGGACCCTCAACTCTATGGTCAACTAATCTTCGACAAAGAATGTCCAATGGAAAAAAGAGAGCCTTTTCAACACATGGTGCTGGGAAAATTGGACAGCCACATGCAGAAGAAGGAAACTGGACCATTTCCTTACACCACACACAAAAATAGACTCCAAATGGTTGAAAGACCTCGATGTGAGACATGAGTCCATCAAAATCCTAAAGGAGAACACAAGCAGCAACCTCTTCGACCTCAGCTGCAGCAACTTCTTCCTAGAAACATTGCCAATGCAAGGGAAGCAAGGGCAAAAATGAACTATTGGGACTTCATCAAGATAAAAAGCTTTCGCACAGCGAAAGAAACAGTCAACAAAACCAAAAGACAACTGACAGAATGGGAGATATTTGCAAATGACATATCAGTAAATGGGATAGTATCCAATCTATAAAGAACTTCTCAAACTCAACACCCAAAGAACAAATGATCCAATCAAGAAATGGGCAGAAGACCTGAACAGACATTTCTGCAAAGAAGACATCCAAATGGCCAACAGACACATGAAAAAGTGCTCAACATCACTGGGCATCAGGAAAATCCAAATCAAAACCTCAATGAGATACCCCCTCACACCCGTCAGAATGGCTAAAATTAACAAGTCAGGAGATGACAGATGTTGGCGAGGATGCAGAGAAAGGGGAACCCTCCTACGCTGTTGGTGAGAATGCAAGCTGGTGCAGCCACTCTGGAAAACAGTATGGAGGTTCCTCAAAAAGTTGAAAATAGAGCTACCATATGACCCAGCAATTGCACTACTGGGTATTTACCCCAATGATACTAATGTAGGGATCCGAAGGAGTACGTGCATCCTGATGTTTATAGCAGTAATGTCCTTTTGATGGCTGCATAATATTCCATTATATATATATATACCACATCTTCTTTATCCAATCATCTGTGGATGGACATCTTGGCTCTTTCCACAGTTTGGCTATTGTGAACATTGTAAGAGTGCTGTATGGTGACAGATGGGGTGGTAGTTATACTCCTGGTGAGCATAGCATACTGTATAGAGAAGTTGAATCACTATGTTGTACAGCTGAAACTAATGTAACAGTGTGTGTCAATTATACACAAATAAAAAATTTTGAAAAAATGAGTCTTCTGATGTGCATGTTCTTGACTGAGGTTAGACAAGGTGTTACTCATCCTTCTTGTTTCAGCTTTTATGCTCTTAAAATTAATTGTCCTTTTCCTGGTGTATTTAGTGCCATGCTTTAAGCATTTTTGTGCTTTGGGTGGTAATTTTATCTTATTGTGAAATCTTGCCATTTGCAATGACATGGATGGAACTGGAGGGTATTATGCTGAGTGAAATAAATCAATC